TTTAACCCATCCAAAGTGCACACACACAGCAGTGAACACACACACACCGTGAACACACACCCGGAGCAGTGGGCAGCCATTTATGCTGTGGCGCCCGGGGAGCAGTTGGGGTTCGGTGCCTTGCTCAAGGACACCTCAGTCGTGGTATTGAAGGTGATTGCTATTATTTTCAGAATAGCAAACAATTCAGTTTTTTGTGCTCTCAGACATTTTCTGCTCATATTTGTATTTTTTGTATTCCATGTTCTGCGCTTGCTTTTCCAAATGTTACTATTAGAGCTTCATGTAAATCAGGGTAGGCTTAAGCGTCATGATTGGTCCACTAGTTCTAGATTGACAGCTCCTCCTCTAGCCAATCAGTTGAAGAGTGGAGTTGTCGTCACTCCAACGCTCCTCATTAGCTGCAGATGATCAGTGTTCACTTGTACAGGTGAAAATGGATAACCGTCAGCTGGGGTAACATCTTTCCATACAGGACACCGTTATACTGTATGTGTCTGCCTGCTGTACACCTACCTGGCGATCTGTTACCATTAAATGAGCCATCCTAGCGACCCACCGCCGTTATATTCACCCAGTAGCGTGCACAGGGGGCCGGGGGGGCTTGAGCCCCTGCCCCTTTAATCGCTGACTTTAAAGTGCCCTTTTGGTCCGCGATTTCTTCCGAAGGGGACCCGTTAATCAGTAGTCAAATCTAGCCTATCAATGCAAAAACATTACATTCATTCATAATTAATTTACCAATTTACTTATTTAACGGTTATGGATCACCAGGTAGGTGTACAGCAGTGGCAGGCAAATAACGGTGTCCTGTATGGAAAGATGTTACCCCAGCTGACAGTTATTCATTTTCACCTGTACAAGTGAACACTGAGCATCTGCAGCTAATGAGGCGCATTGGAGTGTCAATCTAGAAACAGTGGACCAATGATGATGCTTAAGCCCGCCCTGATTTACATGAAAATCTAACCACAACATTTGGAAAAGCATGCGCAGAACATGGAAACAAGAGTGAAGGGAAAAACAGCATAAGCATACAAAAAAACTGCAATACTTTTGGCGGAAAATTGATCCCATACTTAAATTACTGTTAAATTTCTAAATTTAAAGGATTTGTTTTGGGGTAAGGGGGAACTAAAGGACATGTTTAAAGTGTTTATAATGTTTCTAAACCTTTTGTTTTGTTTACCAGTGTTTTACATTATTTTTGAATGTAATAATAAAATGCAACTTATTTTCCGGAAAAAATGTCGCACACACACCAAAAAAACATATATATATAAAAAAAAATGTTCCAATGATTTAAGGAGAATTTAATGTAAAATGTGCTTGAATTTTCATAAAAAATAATGCCACAATGCGGAAAAAAAACAAAACAAAAAAAACAACACACTGATCCCAAAATAGGCATAATTTCCATTGTGCAATTTTTAATGTTTAGGTTAAAATGTGAACAGGACATATTTTTTTGAGACTTACCCACTAATGTAATTTTGTTGTTGTTTTGTTTAGTTTTTACAGCCATAAGCCATAAATCATTAATCTAAAATTGTAATTAAATGAGTTATTATATTAATTATTAAATATATTTATAATATTTAATATATTTAATGAATTATTATATTAAATGAGTTTCTCAAAGGCATGAAAGGTCATATTTTGGTGCTACAGTAGATGTATCAGTCTAGAACTATAGCAGAGGACAGATTAGCTCAGAAATCCTCCTCAAGTCTGTGATTTTGGAAAGCCAAGCGCCCTGCACCCATTGGGATGGGCAGGCTTAGGACAAAAAGAGAAACAGAAGCCATGGAAACAAAAAGATCACCCGCTTGCATAAGCCTAAGCTTTGCTTGTAGCTGTGGGTCATGTTTGGTGCTTAGTGCTTCACATTCTTGCTCGTGACAGCTTGTGTACTCATCTGCGCGCTCTCTTCCTTCAGTATCGCCCTGTCTCTGTGTTAGATGATGCTACACAACATCTGTTTTTTTATATGCTCAGAGCTGTAATAAATGCCCGGTGTGAACAAGACTCTAGGGACTGTATAATAATCGTTTGTCTTCTGCTATATGTCATTTATGGACTTTTACAGTTCATTATTTCAATCGAGACCTAATAATTTGTTGACTTATTGGACAAGCCTTTGCTTCTACATTGAGCTATAGAGAGACAAGAGACCCTGAAGATGAAGTAAAGGCAGTGAGCGAATGCGTATATATATAGATATATATATATATATTCTAGCACCTTCTTTGCGGGTCACGCTGTTGCATTCATTGTCGTCTCATTACCAAATCTGCAGATATGTTATTAAGTAGCTCATCCATCAGTGCTTAGAAACAGAATCCAAAAGGTTAAAGGGAATGAATGCTGTTGGATGGAAAAAAATACCTATGATAAATCGCAGGTGCTTGGTGAAGTTCCCATTGAATTAATGACTGGTATTCATCATTGAGAAAAAAAAAAAAAGGAAATCAGGCAAGTGGGTGCCTGTTTTAAAGAGGATCTATAAGCTCTGCATTAGTTAAACCTGAACGATGGTCATTGCTACCGTTGTGCTGTAATGGGTCTCTGCACAGATGTGTTGTGATACAGGAAAATCTTAAGCAAATGTGGGCTGAAAGCGGCTCAGAGTCTGTTTGGAGGTTCTTATTGGTTTAAGTGCTTCTCAAAGTGCAGTTGATCAACATCTTCCTTCTAAGCTGCGAGCGAAATTGCCATGAGCCAAGGTTACGGATGCGCAAAAGATCAAAAGAAGTGGTTTTGAATATCGCTTTGAAGCGCCAGACTGTATGCAGATTCCTTCATTTGTTTTAGCCCTCTGCATGCTGGGCTGTGTGTCTGCCGGGCAGTACCACAGAGGGCAGAGGCGGATAATTTATCACTGCATATTGCCTGATTAAAGAAAATTAAAGTAGGCTGCTGTGGGCTAGCCAGTTGCTTAGATAACAACTTCAAGCTACTAGACTTTAGGAAATCATGTTTGTTTGGGCTTGGGAGAGAAAAACAAGGGTATTACAAACGGAAAACTCTGCAGTAGGCTAGTGATTTATAGGATGCACAGGTTTAACGTTCGGTGACACTTTCCATGAATAGGGTACAATATATGGCCTATATTGAGCAATACTATAAAAGTAGGCCAAACTAAATGTTGATGGGCGGTTTTGTTTATTGGATTTATTTTCTGTGAAATGTTCCATTTTTGCAATTTGGGATCTAAGTACACTGTAAAAAATATTTTTCGAAGTTCTAAATATAACAATGATTACTGAAGTACATTTTACAAGGAAATTATGTTTCAGGCTTTCTACTTAAAAATTTAATGTTTAATTCAATGTGTTACTTGACATTTCTTTGAAACAATTTTCACTCTAAAATAATTACAAAGTAAATCCTACACCAGTTTAAACTGATTTTGTTATTATATTAGTTATATACACTACTGGTAAAAATTTTACAGTCTGTAATTTTTATATTGTTGTTTTTGAAAATAGTATCTCATGCTGACCGAGGCTGCATTTAATTGATTAATTGATCAAAAAAACTGCAGTATTACTTTTGACAAAATATTATTACAATTATTACAATTTATTTTAATATATTTTAAATTTTAAATTGTTGTGCTGTAATGGGTCTCTGCACAGATGTGTTGTGATACAGGAAAATCTTAAGCAAATGTGGGCTGAAAGCGGCTCAGAGTCTGTTTGGAGGTTCTTATTGGTTTAAGTGCTTCTCAAAGTGCAGTTGATCAACATCTTCCTTCTAAGCTGCGAGCGAAATTGCCATGAGCCAAGGTTACGGATGCGCAAAAGATCAAAAGAAGTGGTTTTGAATATCGCTTTGAAGCGCCAGACTGTATGCAGATTCCTTCATTTGTTTTAGCCCTCTGCATGCTGGGCTGTGTGTCTGCCGGGCAGTACCACAGAGGGCAGAGGCGGATAATTTATCACTGCATATTGCCTGATTAAAGAAAATTAAAGTAGACTGCTGTGGGCTAGCCAGTTGCTTAGATAACAACTTCAAGCTACTAGACTTTAGGAAATCATGTTTGTTTGGGCTTGGGAGAGAAAAACAAGGGTATTACAAACGGAAAACTCTGCAGTAGGCTAGTGATTTATAGGATGCACAGGTTTAACGTTCGGTGACACTTTCCATGAATAGGGTACAATATATGGCCTATATTGAGCAATACTATAAAAGTAGGCCAAACTAAATGTTGATGGGCGGTTTTGTTTATTGGATTTATTTTCTGTGAAATGTTCCATTTTTGCAATTTGGGATCTAAGTACACTGTAAAAAATATTTTTCGAAGTTCTAAATATAACAATGATTACTGAAGTACATTTTACAAGGAAATTATGTTTCAGGCTTTCTACTTAAAAATTTAATGTTTAATTCAATGTGTTACTTGACATTTCTTTGAAACAATTTTCACTCTAAAATAATTACAAAGTAAATCCTACACCAGTTTAAACTGATTTTGTTATTATATTAGTTATATACACTACTGGTAAAAATTTTACAGTCTGTAATTTTTATATTGTTGTTTTTGAAAATAGTATCTCATGCTGACCGAGGCTGCATTTAATTGATTAATTGATCAAAAAAACTGCAGTATTACTTTTGACAAAATATTATTACAATTATTACAATTTATTTTAATATATTTTAAATTTTAATTTATTCTTGTGATGACAAAGCTAAATTTTCAGAATCATTACTATATCATTATATATATATATATATATATATTCAAAATGAGAGTATATCATCCTCATTTTGGCCTTTTTTCATAAAAAATAACCCAAATTCACATTTTAAATTTGCCTCAAAATTAAGGCAAATTAATTTATGTTAATTTATAATTTATTATATATATGTGTGTGTGTGTATATATATATATATACATATATATATATATAAATACACACACACATATATACATATAATGGATTTATTTTAAATATAATTTCTAATTGTATTCTCTTGATTTTGGAGTGAAATGTTTTCATGAGGTTCACCCAAGTATGAACTCGTCACAGGAGAAAAATGTGGCCTCAGTTAAAGACACTTGTTATGATTCTGCCAAGGACTTTTATGTGTGTGTATGTGTTTGAGTGTACAGTATGTCCCATTTATCTCAGCATGTCCAGTCATCTCAGTTTGCCAGAGGAATTGTGCTCCTGCCAATCAGTCCCTCGCTGTCATAAGGTGGGCCGTCCCCTGCACCGACAGCTGTGCCACACATCTCATTGTGTCCCTCCCTTCAGCTCTGGAGGGTTTCTATGATGACGTCTGGCCGTTTAGACACTCCCGGCGCAAGCACTGCGCAGGCTTCCACCAGTCCCCGCTGTGGCACCGACAGATGGTGCAGTCGTCCACCTTCACTTCAATGCCAGCTGGGATGATCGTCGTTCCAGCGAAGCAATTTGGACCTGTCACATGGGGAAAAGGAGGAGATTTTAAGGAAGCAGGA